CGGAAATGTCTGGATTCAGATCGAGCCAGGGCGCGCAAATAACCGAGAAACACGAGGAAAAAATTTTTTAATCGTATTTGTTCGCACCGCGAGCTTGGTTTGAGTTTCTCGAAATTGGCATAGTACGTCAATGTCCTGGCTGTCCACCGCATGTTTCCGCCGTTCTTTTGACTCGCGAATAACACGGGAGAAGTGCAGGCGATCATTATTAATGTGTTGTAGCATAGAGAAGGGTTTAGTTTAAGGTAAATACCCTACGTGACTGAGCTCGCTCGCGTTCGTGGAAATAATTCAAGCACCTCGACGTGGCCCCGATACTTTAAGATAAGCTGGACTAATTAATAACGATTTCGCGTAATCGGTGTCGCAAGGTGAAAAGCAAGGCTATGTAAACGCTAAAGGCTTATCTGCTCTCTGTGGGCGCATCGTTTGGTAATAGATTATCACTGATGGCTTTTCCGTTTGAAGCTCGTCGCAAAGCAAAATTTTAACGGAATAATATTATGCAATGACGAGAGACAGAGATGCTATCACGCCAACATTATGTAAAAGATAATCACACGATAATTCCATAACATGGAAATAATTCTTTGTCTTAATAAAGAGATTCAAGTTGTAAAACTTTTTAGTATAATCGTACATTGAAGGTAAAGAATAACATGTTCTAGGCTAGATTATATCTACGCTTTACGCCCAAACGTAAACAATATTGTACATTCATATTATTGATGATGTATGCAACAAAAATATGCACACAATAATTTTAACATAATATAAACTTTAAAATAAAAATATGTGGAAACAATCTTGTTTCACAAACTAATTTACAATTTTTATAAATCTTTCCAATATTCTGTTTAACCTCTTTCAATAATTCACGAAAAATATTTGAGACTGTATATAAATATAAATCATATATGTATATATCACCGTAACGTTAACATTTATAATAATTAAATTAAAACTGATTTGCCGCTTTTGTTTCAGCCAATCGTAATTTTTTATTGGGTAACAAAATAATTGGATATTCTCCTAATCCAGATCTTTTCATCGGTAAATTTGAGGTGAGAAAAAAAACTGGCTCGAAATAGTCGAAAGGCCTCATCATGTGAAGCACGAACGAGGATTCTAGGTCATCCTATGTAATATCCTTCTATTTCTCCACGAGAAAGTTCCAATTAGCAAATATTATTCGCAGGAGAAATTCCCAATTCTCTTTATCGAGTCCAAATATCGGGGTTCCCTTGCGTTTAACGGTATCGATAGAGCAGTGTCGAGAAGTAGGGATGTAGAGAAACTAATTTCTACATGGAGGATGGTAGGCAAGGAGAATGGATCGTGGTACGAATCGTATACGGCGGGAGCTGTATTTTTATCCTCCAGAAAATAAGAACGTATTCCTCATCTCATTTATCTCTATTCTCTTGCCTGAACCTAGCTTCCTCCCGCATCATCCGCCGAATCTCCTTCGGGGGGTGGCTCTAATCCGAATTTAGCATTACATTTTATTATACACATTACCCGTTGCGTGAAAAGCTAGGGATAAAACCTTTTTTACGACGCTGAAAGAACTCTTCGTGTCCTACCGTCCGTTTTCGGCGGAATCGCGTTTCACAACGCGTGTAATATGAGCATTACGCGGCATATTGAAGTTTCTGCCCCTTCCTACTACGAATCGTTTGCGCAGCTATGGACCCACCCGCGCGAGCTCGAGTATCGAAATTCCAGCCGCGCGCCCCACCCCGAAAAAGGAATTCCCTCGTCGCGGCGCCGGGCATCCGCGGAGCGTGCATCGGGCGCAGAATTCAGGAGGGTCGAAAGACGTCTATCTCGTCTCTCCTCCGTTGGCGTGGGTCAGTAGACGAGATACACACCCCCCTCCCCCCGGACACGAGGAGGGAGCGGAGAAAGGGGAGAAAGGCCAGTGGGATATTCGATACCGAGGGCATGGATCGCGCGCGCGGCCTGTGCGGAGTGTGACGCTGGTGCCACCCTAACGTGGCACGTGGGGCGCTACCAGGTGTTGCCTAGACATCGGGTCGATTCCCCCCCCCCCCCCCCCTCTCCCTCACAACCCCTTTCGTCTTTCCTCGCGTCTTCCTCTCGTGCTCCGCGTGCTGCTATCGTCCTATCGCTTTCCACCCTATACCCTCGTGTGCCGCGCCACCCTCGTTTTTGCACACGAGGGGAGATACATCCCTATACAGTATCACCCCGACGTGCGCCACCCTTGCACCACTACCACCGTCATCGTCTCTGTACTACTACCACTGTTGTCAGCGACAACAAGTAGACGACGTATATCGTCTTGCTATCGCTACTATGCAGCCAATCTTCCGTAGGAATTACCATCTATTCCCCTCCCCCCCGCCTTCTCTCTCTCCCTCTCTCTCTCTCTCGTTCTCAAGAGAGAGAAAGAGGGGAAAAGAGAAGAAAAGAGTTTACACATTCATCGTGGACGCCAGGAACGAGACTCAGAAACGTGGAACCCTGACCAGCTGTTCTCCCCTCCGATTTTTGCAGGCGTCCCGGGACTTGTGTTTATGCGCGTGTATGCGTACGTATATTACGCCGGATGCGGCACGGTGCGATAAACAGCAGCGGCGTTTGCGAGGAAAAGATTTACAGATAGCTTAGTACGTTGCGTAGCGTAAGAGGTCGATGACCGGATGGAGAATCTTTGCCGGTTCACCGGAAATCTCATCCTGACCAAACCATTCCTGAAAAGTTCGTCGTGCGCGCGCCGCGTTTCTATATTTATTGGGACATACTCTTGTTTGCAATTATACGTAGAGGTAAAAATTGTACAGAGATTATTATCGATTTTCCGAGGAAAGAAGTTAGCAAATTTCTTAAATTAACAATTTAAAATTTTTGCAAATTTGTTAAAATAATTATTGAAAAATACTAAATAACTCTGTCAAATAAAATATAAAATATGTAGAATTGAACACATAAATAAAAAGCGTTAATTCGTTTACATTGTTACTTATAATTAATTTGAGAAGTGTGACGAATATATATCGAATCGTAGGAATAACTTCAACCTTCTACTCTTATTCTAAATAAATGCAAGCGCAGTGAAGACTACAACGTATTGTAACTGCGGTTCTTCTCCTATTTTACATTTTTCCAATCTCCTTTTTAAATCAGGCTGGGCGACGTAGGACCCAGTCTACACAGCAAGCTCCAAATACGTAGTGCAACATAAATTCAACTTTACGCAAAGTATGGTGCCGCGTGTGTACGTACTAAGAATACGAAATCACCGTTTACATAGACAAAACGAAATATTGCGGTTACGATACATACAATTTACGCTGCTGCATACATCGCCATTTTTCTTTCTTTAATTTAAATGATTTCATTTTTAATAATGTGTAATTTAGATTCACACCTGAAATATACAGGTCTCGTTTTCCGCACATTATTTTATAATGAAAAATTTTTGTCAATCTAAAGTCACAGGTCTCGCTTTATTTTTTGTAAGAATATCAAACGAGATTATTTCGTAACCTTTTAATTTTAAGCATCATTTATATTTCTAATTTAAACCTCAATATTTAAATTAACGGAAAAAAGAGAGAAAGAAAATATATAAAGTATATAAAAATTTAATCATCTTTAAATTTAATTTAGTACAGTTATTATTCATTTCTGTAAAATAAGGGTAATTAATTCGCGGAAGTTATTTTTTCGATCGTTTAATAATTTGAAAATTATAGATAAATCCATTTTTGCTTTATTCAAGAAATTGATGTGAACTTTCCATCTGTGAAAAATGTTCCTAACTATTTATAAGAATGCATCGATCAACAACTGCGATACTGTGCAAAGAATTCGCGTCCTACGCCATTGATAACGGTAACACACACTCATTCCCGTGCCACGCTTTCGTATCACGTACGCACAACCACAAAGAACGACCTGCAGGAATCGAGAACCGACATCAGCACTCTCGAGGGGTAGCTGTGCAACCCCTCATACGAAACCATCAGCAGCAGCAGCAGCATCGGCGACGGCAGCAGCGCCATCCCTTGATTCCGTCTATAGGGGAGCCGCAACGGTGGGACGCCGGGGGTGTTGCTGACTAGCCGAGCCTGCAGTGAGTGACAAGGACAACCCCTGTGAACGTAACAGAGACAGTGGCTGCCGCGGAGAAGGGATAAAGGGTCGAGGGGACGGTAACGCGGAGCGGCAGCGCCACCGACTAAACAGTCGCACCCCGTCGTCGCCGTCGTATTCGAGGCCACCCCCTGTCACTGGCGAGAGCCGCGACAGGGAGCGACCGGAAGAGTAACGGACGGACGGACGGGCGGACGGGCAGACGGACAGACGGACGGACGGTCCTCAGTCAGTCAGTCAGTCAGTCAGTCGGTCCACTCGGCAAGTCTCGGGGCGCAAGAGAAGAGCCACCCCCGAATACACACGCATATACACAGTCACACGAATATACATACACACACACGCGCGCGTGCACACATTACGTAGGTATCTTATACGAGCGCAAATCGCGGGAAGTACGATCCAGAGAGTAAGGGTCTCAGCTCCTTGACCACCCACTCGAGCAGACGCAAGGAACTGTAAGCGCGAAGGACTCGCAAGGATCGTAAGCCGCGCTGGCGAGCTGGCATGGTGGCGGTGGTGCATCCGTTTAAGGAGCCGCCCTCGCCGCGCCGATGACGAGGCTGCAGGTGCCACACCAACGCGTACCACGTAGGACGAAGGCGAAGCCGGCCAGCGAGCGGCCACCCAAACGAGACGGTCTCCTCATCCACCGGTCCGACGGGCCGCAGTCACAGACGGCCGGGCCGGGTGACGGACGGGCGCGACGTAGGCGTCGACGTCGTGAAGACGACGACGACGACGACGTCGTTCGCGGAGCAGCAGGTAAAGCAGCCGACGGTGACAGACGCGTTGTAATCGCGGCTGTCGATCGTCACGACGTCGGTGGTGCGGTTGGTGCTGCGGTTGTTGGTGTTGAGCGTGTCGGTGTTGGTGTACCGCGTGGGTGTCCCGCTCCGAGGTCGAGGCCGCCGTTTCTGATAACCGGACCACAACGACGGCCATCACCATCGCCAGCTCCTGGTGTCGGCGGCCTTGAAACAACGGATCCGTGTTATCACTATGCCACGCTGTCTCATGGCGAAAAAGTGGAAGTGGAATCAGTGGCAGGCACGCGTGGACGATCAGCAGGACGAGCAGAAGGACGCGACGCCACTCGGTGCCGCCCTGCAGGAACAACAGGCGCAACATCACCCTCTACATCACACCGCGGATGCGATGGAGAAACGGCCGCACAGGCATGAACCCGAGGATGAGGAAATCGACGTGGTCGGAGACGTCGATAATCATCAAGTCGATCATCAGCAGACCTGCTGGGGACCGCACAGTCCCACAGCGGGGGCCACGGCCCCCAGTCCACCACCCCTCAACGCCTCCGGCGCTCTTTACTATCACGGTAAGTGGAACTCACGAAGGCTTTCTTCCTTCCCACTTCATACTGCGGCAACGCGGTGATGCGGTTGTGCGAATCGCTCCCTTTTACACGACATATCGCTTGCGGGATGTAAGTTAGACGCGCCACGCCCAAAACCAAAAGGTTTTCTCTTCAGAAATATTCGCATGAGATCTGATGGAGGAATAGGGGGTTCGAGGATTGTAATTTTTTTTTCTCTCATTTTTTCCAAAAAGGCCACTGCTTCGAGATGACATAGCAGATTATACATCGAGCATGCAGGGTGACACGCCCGTTTATCACAAGTCCGCGTGCGCTACAGTCGGATTGCGGTAGCTGTTTAAATGCGCCATAATTATGATAGCACGATGATTCGTCGGAAATGCGGAAATATAGCCCGTTTGAAGGTCATAGAATCGTGCGCGATTACGCGAGCGTTTTCGCGACCTGTGGGAAACCGCCGCCCGCAAAGTCGGCCATGTGTCTGCATACAATACATGCGTACATGGCGACACACCCGTTCGTAGATTGTTGATCGCGTCGACAAGCATTCGGCATTCCTTAACATTGAGTCACGAACTTAATATATTATTAGATCAGCTATTTCGCATATTACATTTATTGAGCTCTCAATCAGATAGGGTGGAAACTGATGATTGCGTTGACGTCGGTGGTTGTTGTGTAACCGACCATATCCAGAACGGTCGAATTGCTTTTGTGACGTAGATGCCAATGAGAATACGCCTACGATTTCAGATTATTGTCAAATGGACTACTTGTCGAATACTCTTCGTAGAGCTTGTTTTGCACTTATATTATACTTATAAGTTTTACACTTATATATACGGATACGTAAATTACGTAATCATACTAAATCTGCAAAAACTATTCTTAACCATCATTAATTGCTTTCGTATTACATAATTTTAAATCATTCGATAATTGCAAGATTAAAAAAATTAAATTCTTTATTCTATGAAATTTTTCATTTAATTCAGTCTTGCTCAATTTTAAATCATTCAATAACTTCATAATTAAAAAAAATAAATTTAAGAAAGATATACTTCTTAAGTTTTCATTAAATTTTTTATTTTAATACATTTTTCATTTAATAATATAAAAAATATAATAAAAATTTCAGAAATGTCTTTCAAGTTTTTTATCTTTAAAAATTTTAAATAATCTAAAATTATGTAATACAAAAATATTAATTAATAATGTTATATAATTAATAGTGTTTGAAAACCATTTTTCACATATTTAGTACAATTACATAAACATACAGAATTTAATATATTATATATTTTCGTATTACCTTTTAATGTATTATCACCATACACACGTATAAAATACATTGAAGAAACTTTACTTCCAAATTTAAAGATAAAAGTAGCAAACACTTTTTTCCTTCACTTAGTAATATTATTTAATAACATAAATGTTATAAAATATTATAATAAAATTGTTTTAAATTTATATATGTACTTGTTATAAATTCATATGTGCGCTACCTGAATGAATTTATTCTATAAAAATAGGGCATATAAAAATTTTTCGTGAATAAGTCAATCGCTGGTGCTTTGAAGCTAATGCCTATAAGTATTCTTGAAAGCCAAGACTACAGAGTAACGACCTCCTTTTATCTCATTTATGCAGCTTATAGACAGTGCAGTGCGCACGTGCTCGTACAATGGCGCAAATGACGCTGTTATGTAACAAGTGTTCTCTGCGTGTCGTTATGTGTGCCACGATGTGTGTCTACGATTGAATTTTGCCAATCAATTTCGTCAACGTTGAATTTAAGATTATACAAGATTTGCTACAATGTTCGTCAAAAAGAGATGTATAAAATCTGTATCTTTAATTTTTTCAATGAATCCTGAAAGTAATTAGTATTAACCATAAACAATTAATGGAAATTTTTTAATCTGAAACATATTTTACAACGACGCTTTTGATTCGTCTAGGTACAATAAAGAATTTTGTATCCACCCTTGTACAAACTTCATTATAATTGTCAGTGCAAAGGATGTATTTATATGCTTGCACATATTCACGAATATTAAATAAAAGAATAAGGAAAATCAGAAAATTTATCTATTATCACAGAAATTAAATTTCTACCAGCTAGGATAATAAAATTACGGTCACGCAAGAAAAATGTAAGGACTCGTGACTATTAACAGGTTTCATAGTCCTTGACTTTCGCTTTGTGTAATTAACATCTTGTTTTTACTTACTGGGTCATATAATGTGTTACGTGATATGATTTCATCATATTTTTGACTATTACTGTGAAGTAAAGTAGAGGGTAATGATATTTTTTATAGCAAGGGATATCTTAGATAGAAATTATACTATTGTAATCTTTGTGTAATTTATCGTGAATTTATAATTTAATTAGAAAAACAGTCTAAACAGTTCGTGCGCGTTAAAGTTTATATCCATAAGCTCGAAACTTATTACTTAGATTTTGTTGTAGATAATTGCTATTTTTTGAATTCATACATTACAAATGAGTTCATTTATCACAAATATGTGGAAAACGCTATATTCGGTCAAGGTAGATCTTCGTCCTTAATATTTTTTGTGAATTTGTACAATTTCTAATTCAAGTGAACTGTGTGCCGATTATTTGTCCAACACAATGAAACACAATTTTCTTGAAACACAATCCTAAACTAAAACTGGAGTAGTAATATCATAAATTAAATTGACCAGCAACGTAATATTATTGATGCTATAAACATCTTTGAAACACTATGAATAATTTCTGCGTTTTCCACTTGTGTTGAACATTTCATCGGTTTTTATTTAATGTTCATACACTTATATTTTCTGTGTTTATTAAACATGGTACATCAAATGTTATAATATATTATAATACATTTAATATATTATACATCTATACGATAAATACTTCAGTACAAAAGTTATTTTTTGTTATCTACGGTACTTGAAGCGTATAAATTTTTTGTCAAAAGTTTCAATTCTTATTTTTATTAAATTTTTTTATATAATTAGCCGTCATATAAATATCATTAGACGCTTATTTTTCCTCTAGATACAAGAATAAACACCAAAAGTTATCACAAATAATTCAACCATACAGAAATATTATATTACTTTGTTTAATTATATGTATAGATAGTTGAATAGATCAAGTATAATTATTTATACTTGCTGTTTGTTTTGCGCACACAGGATCGATAAAGATCAGAGGCGATAAACCGACAGGAATGTGCGGAATGTTCATTCAAGGTATATAAATATGCTTTATGGGCTATATCTGTGATCTGTGATAGATAACGTAGATATAGAATATCCACCTAGAAGTCATAGATAATCCATGCCACTTTATACATCGTTCTTTCTACATGATTTCATTGTTTTCTAAATGTAAGATGTTAAATTAGATAGAGCCAGAATTTATACCTCAATATAGACACAAATGTAATTTATTCAAATACTGAATAAGAGGCTATATTCTTTGTAAATATTAAATAAGAAGCTATATTCTTCGATTTATTAAAAGCACTTTTTTTTTCATTTTTATTTCAAGAATAATATCACCACGAAAATAGTAAAGTTGTATCTATCAATAAATTATAAATTTAAAAAAAAATTTTATTAATTAAAGAATTAACCAAGTATCTATATACTGTAGCCAAAAATATCTTAGCCAAATTATACGCCAATAAATAAATATTGTATTGTAATAACGAACTCTAACGGAAGATGGTATTCTTTTCTTTTTTTTATGTCTCTTATAAAGACTTTCTTTTCTAAAACCACTTATGCGTCTGTAAATAAACAGCGCGATCAATGACTGCCAATGACTGATAAAACATGCAAGTTACAGTAACACCATTGATAAACAACAGTAAAAAGCCATTAATTTTTACTGACGCTATCGCGTCGCTTTTATCATCCATCGATCTTTGGTTTGAGAAAAGAAAAAGAAAATCTAATCGAAAGGAAAAGCTCGGCGTTAATGTTAAACGCAACGAGATTTTTATCGGTCTTTAAAAGGGCCTAGAATCAACGGACTTGTGGGAGCGCGTGCGGAGCGTTCATTCGCCGTTATTGATTCCCCCGCGCGCCGTCCCCATACAACCCTCCTGCACACCCCGTTCGCCCTTCTCTCCTTCTCTACCCATCGCACAACTGCGCTCCTTCTGTCGTTGATGAAATGCACTTGCAGACACGGCCGTTCTCCTTTACTTCTATGTTGACTTCCCTTTATTTCAGCCAATAATAGGTACGCGCCAACTGATCGATCGCGCGTGCAGCACACTTTTCTGATTTATCGCAAGTGCCGCCTTCTCCTAGGACCCTCGCGAGGGTTCGTTGAAGGGAAAAATAGCACATTGCTGAAACAGTTCAGCAGAGGCGCATGTGATCTTACTCCATGTTGAAAATTAAAGTAATTTTCTCTTAAAAAATGTTAAAATATAAGATTAATCAGATATGGAGAAAAGAAATATTTGGACAAATTATGCTCGAAGTGATGCAATAATTTTATTTTTTAATTTATAAACTTTAAGTATTAGACGCGCTGAGTTGGAAGAGAAAGAGGGAACGCATAATTGTTAAAATTTTAACATTAAAGTCTTCTTTAAAAAATATAAAAAAGTATCACAGATTTTCATTAAAGGAAATTTTTCAACAAAGCATATTTCGCGCGATAAAAAAAAATATTTTAATTTTTGACAAGACAAAATATTATTCTATTCGTTATTAAATATGTCTATTATCGAATTCTATGATAACAAAAAAACAATTATATTCTCTCTAGTCTAAAAATAATAATTTAATTAAACATTACTAAAAGAGCAGTAGATGTCCAAAAAAGAAATTTTGTCAGGAGAAAATTGTTGCACACAAATTCTTCGTAATTAAATTTTCTATTTAATAAAAATTGTTAGTAGTGTTATTGCCAGTTTTAACTTTAAAATATACTTTATAAACTTTTTGTATTTTATAACATAGATATATTTTCTTTTTTTACTTGTATAATATACAGTATTTATATATAACATTTTTCCGCATAACTATTCAGCTTCAAAGAAAAACTGAATCAATTTCCTTTCTATAACAATGACCAATTTAACCGAGATTGTTGAAACATTTATATCGAAGACACATATAGAAACGGTCATTAGTTGTTCCCTGCGTAATAGTGTCTTCACTGCTCACGGCATGGACTTTCGTATTACGTAACCCACTGGACGGCACGCGTATCGATTTCATGGCGCAAAACGTCGAAAGTCGCTCATTGCGTGCTCCATTGCATTGTCATGAGCAATAAAAGAAACGCGAACAAAATTTAAACGGCATCAATAACTAATAACAAAGTATCATTTTGATAAAAAGAATCATAACAGTGATTTAGAACGAACACGAATTAATCAAAAACATCGATTAATCCTAAAGATATATTATTGTTATTCCACTATCACATTCAGATATAATAATAACATCACATTATATATACACTAATTTCTTTCTTTTGATTGCTTTAATAAATAGTAAATAAGAAGATAATGCAAAAAAAACTCGGATTGAACTACGATTTTAGACGGATTAATGTAACTAAACTCTCTTCTCTCTCTTTTAAGTATTACGTAAAATTCTTTATATGAAATATTAACTGATATTAAACAAGCATAGTTATACATTAAATGAAAGAAAAATAGTTCCTCTTAATACAAAATTTGAGTCCCTCCTCTCCACTCTAATAATATATTTTTGAAATATCATTAGCGGAAGTTTAAAAAATGTATAAAATTAAATGTAAATAAAGGGCTTTATTTGCATTTAATTTTATTTATTAATAAGAGTCCTTATACATATATTTTTATTAAAAAATGTAAGTTCGAGAAAAAGTCGCTTTATATAGTTACACGCATACGGATTTCAATGTTTTAATAAATATCTTCAATAAATCTACTTAATTAAATAAATAAAAGGAAAGGGTCATTTACAATAAAAAAAAAAAAAAAAAAAAACCTTTAGATACCTATAGGAAGAAAATTCTTGAAGATTAACGCACGAGCTGGTCTCTTAATTGTGAACTTAATGATACTTCCGTATAAAGGCGCTACAAAATAAAGTGAAAGAAGACGCTGTTAGACGCGACGTTTGCATTTCGCCTGAATTCTTCCCGATTGCCTCTCTATGAATAACGACATAAGTCTCGCTCTTCGTCCCCGGGCAACCCTGCGCAACAGCGAGCGACGCGCAACAGATACACACCGCGTTATTATACCCCCGTAGTTCACGTGACGCGCTGCCACTACATAGCGCACCCGACTCTCCTGCACTCCCGACTTTTTTCCGTCCCCTTTATACCCGTTAATGACCGTATATGGTAGAAACAGCTGGCGCGCAGGAAATGAAACGCCACGCAACTCGTGAGTGATTCACGAACTCGAATATTCATGCCGCCGAGAACGAGTGAGATGTTATGTACCATGCATGCACCGCACTTTCGTTACCCTTTCGTCGTTGTATCACTTGGATGTGTTTCATTCGAAAATATTCTCAAGGGGTTATTATAAATTGGGCAGCAGCTGCTACTCATTTCCATTATAAACATTTGGAGCATTTATTGCGTTAAATATGAATACGAGTATATGTATTAATATATATTACTTTTCTTTGTACGAATTACATGAGTAAATTAAACTTACAATTAGATTCACAGATGTCTTAGCGATAAATTCTGTGAGAAAATACAAAAATATATGGTAAATAAACGGTAATATTCTAGACTTGGATCGCTGATGATGTATCTCGACTTCTCATCAACTAGTTTTAGTAGTTTAGCATACACACAAATCAGACGCAGAACGCACTAACGAAATGCTTACTCCTGTCTTCGCCAAAGATATAGAATAAACCACCGCTGTAATTAAGTGCAAATAGTATCCCTAATGACTTTGACGGTATTTATGACGACGGTAATTATTTCAGCTTGACCAAAAAAGTGCCTTATTAGTCCATAGCATAATCGAATATAGGATAGGGCGGGGCTATTCCGTTAGTCTCAATCTTAAAGTGTAATATAAAATTTACGGTAGCCAATAATATCTCTTTGCAATGATATGCTTATACTAATAATACCTCATACAATCATAATTATTTGTTGAGAACACAAGCGTGCGATCTTCAATATGTGCTGTTCAGAAAGATAAACATTATCGCGAAAAATGAACGAAAGAGGCCCGCTCTATTCTACTATATATATGCTATATCTGTATGTCTATAGAGATTGATCCATTTTCTCCCTCTTGCAGGTTATACACACGAGGCGTGGATTAATCACGAGGAGCCGCCTAAATACGCGACGTTACGTTCCGCGGCGGAGCTAGCGCGTCCGGTAGTACCATCACCACCGCCTGCAGTCGCACAGCAAGAGCTACCGATCTCGGTGCTGACTGGACCGGGCTTGCATCAAACACCATCGCATCAGGCGACGGTCATCGCTACAAATCCGTCATCGTCATCGTCCTCGTCCTCGTCTTCAACGTCATCGTCTGCCGCAGCGTCGCTATGCCTGCCGCCGCGAAAGAGTCTCTCGATGTCCTTCACCAGCACTGGCACCGCGCTCTCCTTACCGCCGAAAAAGAAGGACATCTACCGTCCTTACAGCCTGCAATCGATCTCGGAGATACGTACGTCTGCCGAGGAGGATCTATCGGCCGCACAGGCTATTCTAGATCTCAGCGCGTCGCCCGCCGCACCCACGCATTCTGTTTTTATTCACACCCTGTCGCCACCGCCGCCGCCGCCACCGCCACCACCACCTCCGGCTGCCGCCGCCACCGCCGCTGCCGCTGTTGCTGCAGCGCCGAACGTCCCCGCGTCGCCACACCAGCAACAACAAGAACAACAGGAACATGAAGAACAAGAACAACAGCAACAACCACAGCTACAACCAGCGCCAACGACGGGTATACCGGTCTCTGTGCTTGTGCCGGTGCCTAGCTCGCAGACCAATCAGCTACGCCAACAGGAGCAAACGCCACCGCAGCCGCAGTCGCCTGCGACCGCGGAAGCCACTAGCGGAAACTGCAACGTCGGCAGGGACAGGTAAGTCTCACGCTTCAGCAATTTAACTTCCTTCTGTCCCCGGAGCAGAAAAGAGATCCTTCATAAATTATTAAATTCTCAGGCTCGTTTTTACAATATGTGGTTATACCTTTATAGATATTCATCAATAAAATTCATTCATGAATTTCTTGATAATTTTTAATCTTTAGGTAAACATGTATATTGTTAAAACAGGGTTTAGAGAATATTCTCTTGTGTATATTTTCATTACAAAAACAATTGTGTATTAAGTAAAATAACATTTAACATCGGCACTTCAAAAAAGAAGTACTGTTGTTTGAAGAAAATACAATACTCATATAAAACATAGAGATTATTTTATGTTTAAGGTGAATAATTGTATACTCAATGTTTGAAAACATAATATGTTTAAGAAGAAAAATAAAGAGACAAATAAGATTCGTTTTTCAATTTTAACATTCTTATATCTAGCAAAACGTTCGAATCTGCCAACTTGAACAATGTGTTCAAAAAGCTTTAGGGCTCAAATAAAATGAAAGGAATAAAGAACATGAAATAATAGATTTCAACTTACTAGAAACTGGATACATCGGAATACCTCATAGGTTGAAATTTCTTATTCCTTGTTTCGTTCATTGTGTCTGAGCCCTTATCATCCGAGAATCATCATAACTATATCCACCTTTCAACAGCACCACCAGCAGCAGCAAGACTGTCGCTTACACCTACGAGGCCTTCTTCGTGTCCGATGGTCGATCGAAACGACGCGGCGGTAACGGCAACAACGGTGCCGCCGTGCCCGACAAAGAGGCAGCCCAACCGGACAGGCCCAAGTTCACGTGCACCGAGTGCGGCAAACAATACGCCACGTCGTCGAACCTGTCGCGGCACAAGCAGACGCACCGCAGCCTCGACTCCCAATCAGCCAAAAAGTGCATTCACTGCGGCAAGGCGTACGTCAGCATGCCCGCCCTAGCGATGCACGTGCTCACGCACAAGCTCGCCCACAGTTGCGGCGTCTGCGGCAAGATGTTCTCGCGACCTTGGCTACTGCAGGGTCACTTACGTAGCCACACCGGCGAGAAGCCGTACGGATGCGCTCATTGCGGCAAGGCGTTCGCCGATCGCTCGAATCTAAGGGCGCACATGCAGACACACTCGGCTGACAAGAACTACGAGTGCTCAAGGTGCCACAAGACCTTTGCCCTCAAGTCCTATTTGAACAAACACCTGGAATCGGCGTGCCTGCGCGACGAGGAGATGCAGCAGCAGCAACAGCAGCCGCAACATGCCGGTAACAACGCCACGCAGCAACAGAACACCAATCGAGGCTTGTAGCAGCGCTTCGAGAAGAAGAACAACGACGCCACGATGATTGAAGACACGAGAGAAAGCTAGCGGTGCCCTATGATCGCCGCTTGATCGCGAAGAGGCGCGAGGGTACGAAGAGCAGAAGAGAGGATATAAGGTTTGCCCGTAGATTTTAAGTAGAAAAGTGCCAGTAGAGACAGAAACGAGAGCTAGAGAGAGAGAGAGAGAGAGAGAAAGAGAATGAGCGAAAGAGAGAGAAAGAAAGAAAGAAAGAAAGAAAACAAGAATGAAAAGGAGAGACGAATAAAGAGTTAGAAGAAAAGAACGGGAGCAAGAGAGAGAGAGAGGGAGAGCGTGAGTTTATTAATAATGTCTAACATTAATAAAAACGTCCAGTAATGTTAAGTCGTAAAAAAAAAAAAAACACGTCGAACGATGACGTCCACACTGCAGAGTCTAGTCACTCTAGTCGATTATATACCTATTATATTATATTATATAATATTATATTATTATATTATATTATTATATAAATAGTATATATATTTACTAGCGCGTACGATTCTAGTCCGCGAAGCTCGTTACGAAGACATTATTTATTAATATTTAGCTGCCTAAATTAACACGGGAAGTAAAGTAAGAGATCCCAGGATTCGCTAAACCGACGATGGATCCATAATCGCGGTTCACGAGCCGCGCTCGTCGAATCTCGATCACGGCGCGATCTCGGTCCTTCTCATTGCGATCGAGGCCGATCGCCGTGCAACATCGGAACGCGCAGGTGTGATCGATGATAATTCCATAATTCGCAATCGATTACTGATTGAAATTAATTTTCAATTAGGAAATTGCGCAAGCAGAGAACTAATCCTTGAAATAACCATTATATTAATCAGACATATACGATATTTTGAAAGAATAGCAGAACTAAACGGAATCGATTATCCCATCTGTTGCAGTTTATCAATAATTTGATTAACGGTCACTTCAAACAACATCGCTTGGGACGAGTAAAATATTTCCAAATATTGACTACATAACTTCAACAATTGTACTACATTCGATGTGACAATGCTAATGCGACTGTTTGAAGATACTTGCGCTTAAAATTGTGGAGAGTAAAAGGGGGTTAACAGTCATTCGCAGTAGACGTTCTTTTTAATATTTCATTGAGTTCGAGCCATTGGGATGGAGAACGATGAAAGCTATAGCTAATCGATAAGTGCGGTAACCAACGAGTACACATGGTCGAAGTTATGTCTTCGACAAATGAACGAGTATTCTTACGGAAGATATATGGACTGAATCTCAATGGAAATCTTTATCCCTCCTCATTTTTCACGAGCTAAATCGTCGACGCACACCTGCGTATTTCGCACGAATATGCGATTTACGCGCCACGTGTAACTGGTAACACGCGCACATTTTCAATCATGAAACGAGCGGCTATGTCGTGATATCGAATCGATGGTGAAAAATGATGCGCGAGGTATCGCGCGGGAGTAGTCACTCGCACGAATCGACTAGTTGCGTCGTGGGCGCGCAAGCACGCGTATGGGGTATCGTATAAACCGAGACTCACACGTACATCCACGTATTTAGAGCAAAATTCGAGTAATAGATGCGTAACATTGTTATACACATATTTTATAGAAGCAATATAAGAAAAAAAAAAATATGACGACACGTACGGTCAAAGCAATGTTTCGAAACAACGAATTATATAATTATACATTATTAGAGGCGAACACATCGAAGTTTAACGAAGTCTCGAGCAAGAACCGACGATATATGCTTAGGCATGATGGAAAATGATCGCCCAATCCACACCCCCTGCTTTCTTTTCTGGTAAAGACAGAGAATCTTAAATGTTCAATCGGTGATTCTTTTAAAATAGTAATAATTTGCTTTTACGATTTTTAAATTGTTCCTTTTAATTCACCTGACAATGTAACAAATCTCTATACTATTTGCGGTAATAATCTAGATTGTTTCTATCAATATTGATACCAATTGATAATTTCAACAGGCAAAACTAATAAATTCAACGCAGCGTATTCTACTAATTGCATAGATCGTGCCGCGTTGAGTATTTAATCATATTCATAAAAAAGTCATTAATGACGTTTGCGTGATGAATATACATCAAATATATTGGTCTACATATTGAATTATGTTATCAGAATAAATTTGTTATATTCATTCATAATTCAATCAACGTATTGTGTTGCGCCGTATAGTTGTGAAACCGTATAAAAGATAATTATTAATTTCTCCATTACAATTAATTGAGTTTTTATATTTTAAAATAAAATATAATCGATGACGTATTGCTGTGCATTTAATCGCGAATTTAAATATAATTTTACACATTTTTTATTAAGAATAAGAGAGAGAGAGAGAGAATATAATCGCACTAAACGCAATCAGAGGGGTGTGGATCACACGCTTCACGTCGCCCAGCGGAAAAAAATAATAACACTAAAATAATAATTATTACGGCCGATGAGTATATACGGGCAATATGTCCAAACATCTTATTTTGCAACGATCATATTATCGAGAAGCGATAACATATTTTGCATGTACAGTATAGAAAGAAACCTCACCGCCAAAAAAAGGAAAACAGAACGAACAATATTTTTCGCGTAGCTCGTTCTTCGGATCGAATCGTGTCTAATAAGATTGGTCGATAATGCTTGACGCGCAAGTTTTGTTTCATTCTTTTTTTTAAATTTCATCTCGCGCGGCGTTAGCCGCTAATAAATACGCCACGCTGCTATTAATGCATATATAAGCATATATAAATATACGGCTATAGAACAATAAATGATTAAGCAATACTAATTTATTTGCGTAGCATACAACGAACAAATCTGCAATATTACGCACCGCTCGCTTGAAAACTTGCGTTAAGTCACAAATCTCTCTAATTTCCTTTGGCTGTTTCGTTTGTCATCGCTTATTCGCTTATTGTGTCATTCGTTTGTGCCATATTCTTCGTTCTGCGCTTATTTCTTTGTATAGTAGAAATATTGTTACTTTCTCGATCCCATAATCATGGTGTCATAATTATTTGTTCCTGTATTTATTACTGACGGATTGTCAAGAGATATCGAAGTTACACACTTCTTTCAGATTTTCATCTTGGAGCTATTTCGTCTTGACATTTTTTATGTATCGCGTATTACTAATTTCTTGACAATTTCGTCGTGTATTATTGTCATTGTAATATTATTATTATATTTATTATTTATTATTATTGTGGTATATATTAATATTTATTATTATTAGTATTATTATGCTAGTACAACGATTCGATACAACGATTGATATTCATGTGTTACAAGTATAAAACTAAAACATGTGCAATTTCCATTTTGATTCGTATAAAAAAAGAAAATGCCATTCCGTGCGACAAGCTATTTTATTTAAAGTAGTCTCGCGGGTATAGTTATTAGTCGATACACTTAAACTTCCGAATCGTGGTAATATATATGCATAATATATATACATTTATATATTATACGTACACGTAAACAGAACGTCCTCACTAGTAGAGGTAAATCATAAAGCAATTCCCGACACTTAAAAAAAAAAACAAGAAAATAGGACACAACAATGTTAAAGGGTTGCCATTTTGTTCTATTCTGCAGAAATTTTATTCGTTATGTCCGTTTATTTTTAACCTATTCCAAAACACTTTCTTTTTATAAATTTTATTAATTAATTTGTTTAATGTGACTTCAGGAGCTAATAAAGAAGGCATCAACGATCAACATCAATAATTCTGTACAAGAGTTCTATTTTTGCAGATTACTTATTGTACTATTTAGGCAATTCAAAGGTTGCTGTTTAAATGCTCATGCAGCTTCATTCTATCTTCCGTATGTAATAAACGACGAAAAGTAACCTATGTGTATTTACATTCAAGCAATACTTAGTACAGCCGATATTTCACGATCACAAATGATTCGCAATATTTAATTGCATAGACTTTTTTTTAAAAGGGATCGTATTGCTTTCGATTTTACCGCCAATTGTGGGACATCCTGTATATAGTCACACAATTCATAATTCAAGCGTGTATAGAGAAAGACTGTGCTCGTTGGACTTAAATGCCATTATGAAAACATAAATCGGAGTTTTAAAAGGGAGCTACGATCGAAAGGGAGCATATCCATTTGTTTTCTCACGATTTGTAGACACGCGTAGAAATTGAACAGTTGTAAAGCGCTGATTAGAGAAAAACGGCCGGTAACTGTAGTCATAATTAGCGAACGGCGAGGGTTCGTTGTGGGAATTGCGTCGGTTCGTTAAACAATTACCTAGTCAATTTTTTTAATACGAATTGTTACTCGACGACATGAAAAGAGTCATGCGGAAAAAATTTATTCCCGGTAATTTATTTTTTTAGCCCGTATAAACATAGCGATTGTGACTATAGAACAAAATTTTGTAGAAAGACAATTAAAGGATTTATTAAAATTATAAATATACCTTCCCTTTTCAAATAGGACAATGCGACGTAATGAGCACTGCATAATTTAAAGTTAATTGTAAGGAGAAGGGACGCAAAAAGTTTTCCTGTGATGAATCTCAATAACGATCTCTGCTAAAGATAATGATTTCATAAAATTACTAAACTCTACTCTGAACTTTATATAATTATCAGCTTGGCATCATTATTATTTATATATCTATGTTATCCTTGCAAAAATGGTTACATCTCACTTAATTGGAATATCGATCCTTTTATCACCACTCCATTTCCATTTTTATACAATTTCACGTTTTAAAACGATTATCATATTCTTGTACTTTTCTCGCTTTCCTTTCGCGGATATATCATTGCCTTAAATGCCAGCAGAGCGGCTACTCCTATAGCGAATTTCTCGAGCCTCGCCGATAGTTAGAATCGAGGGAATCGATTCAAGCTCAACCCTGTTATCGTGAAATCGATGTTATATAGAGGTGCTCAAAGAAGTGTGTACAAAACATAAGAGAAACAGAATATAAATTAAACGACATTAAATTTGATGGTATATTTATTGATAACGAGAAGTGAATGCGGCGAATATACTTATTATAGCGGTAGTTTTATCGAGGTTAGAAATGGAAAATAAATCCGTTTCATAGTCGATACTCTTGTGTAAAAAAATTAAATCCCTATCTTACTCTTACACTCTTTAATCGCGGGATTATAGTGATACATAAGCTTCTATATTGCTATATTGTACTATATCGACATATGCAATTG